TGTGAAGAATGAATATTCCCATGCTTGGCACCAAGATCAAAAACCATGATGTGTGTCTTATTGATAGTGCATCGACACATACAATCTTGAAGGATAAGAAATATTTTTCTCATCTTGAAATGCGAGAAGCAAATGTTAGTACTATATCTGGAAGTACAAATCTAATTGAAGGCTCCGGAAGAGCTAGTGTATTGTTACCAGAAGGAACCAAGTTGTATATCAATGAAGCCTTATACTCTTCAAAGTCTCAAAGAAATTTATTGAGTTACAAAGATATTCGCCGAAATGGATATCATATTGAGACAAAGGAAGAAGAGAATAAAGAGTATATTATGATAACAAATATGGTCTCCGATAAAAAACACATATTGGAGAAATTGCCTGCTATTTCTTCTGGGTTGTACTACACGTTTATTAGTACAATTGAAACACATGCAGTGATAAACCAGAAGTTTACTAATCTTGATAATTTTATAGTTTGGCATGACCGGTTAGGCCATCCCGGATTGATTATGATGCGAAAAATCATTGCCAATACATGTGGACATCCATTGAAAGGTCACAAAATTTATCAGTTTAAAGATGTACCATGTGTTGCATGTTCTCGTGGCAAGTTGATTATACGGCCATCACCTATGAAAGTAAGGAGTGAATCTCTCACATTTTTAGAACGTATACAGGGTGATATATGCGGGCCAATTCACCCACCATGTGGACCATTTAGATATTTTATGGTTTTAGTTGATGCATCAACTAGATGGTCACATGTGTGCTTACTATCAACTCGCAACCTGGCGTTTGCTAGATTACTTGCCCAATTGATACGACTACGAGCACATTTTCCTGATTTTCCAATCAAGAAAATACGTCTAGATAATGCTGGTGAATTTACTTCACAAACTTTCAATGACTATTGTATGTCCACTGGGATTGATGTTGAACATCCTGTAGCACATGTTCATACACAAAATGGCCTTGCAGAATCATTTATTAAGCGTTTGCAACTTATTGCAAGACCATTGCTTATGAAAACAAGCTTGCCAATTTCTTGTTGGGGGACATGCTATATTGCATGCGGCAACATTAATTCGCATAAGGCCAACAAGTTATCATGAAATTTCCCCCTTGCAAATGATTTTTGGTCAGGAACCTAATATTTCCCATCTAAAAATATTTGGGTGTGCCGTCTACATCCCTATTGCTCCACCACAGCGTGTTAAGATGGGTCCTCAAAGGAGGTTGGGAATTTATGTTGGATATGAGTCCCCGTCAATCATAAAATACTTAGAACCCTTGACGGGAGATTTATTCACTGCTCGTTTTGCTGATTGTCATTTTGACGAATCAGTTTTTCCAACATTAGGGGGTGAGAACAAACAGCTAGGAAAAGATATTTGCTGGAATGAATTATCATTATCTCACCTTGATCCTCGTACTAGACAATGTGAACTGGAAGTTCAAAAGATAATTCATTTACAAGGTTTAGCAAACCAACTGCCAGATTCGTTTACTGACCAGAAAAGAGTGACAAAGTCACACATACCAGCTGTAAATGCTCCAGTGAAAGTTGATGTCCCTGTTGGACAATCTGAAATTGCTAATGAATCTAAACCACGAATGAAGCGTGGTAGACCAGTAGGTTCCAAGGATAAAAATCCTCGAAACAGAAAAGGAGCTATGAATCAAGTTGATCAAATCGAGGATATGAAAGCTCAAGAAGAGTCTCCAAGCATAACTAAGATTGTAGTTCCCGAAGAACATCAGGTACCTGAAAGTTTTGATAATGAAGAGATCTCAATCAATTATGTCTTGGATGGAAAATGTTGGAACCGAAGTAAAATAATCGTCGACGATGTTTTTGCTTACGGTGCAGCGTTGAGTGTGATGAATGAAAATGAGGATCATGAACCAAGATCTATTGATGAATGCAAATCAAGAGATGATTGGCCAAAGTGTAAAGAGGCCATTGAGGCGGAATTAAACTCGCTTTCAAAGCGAAAGGTTTTTGGACCGGTAGTCCTTACACCAGAAAACGTAAAGCCAGTGGGATACAAATGGGTTTTTGTGCGGAAAAGAAATGAAAAGGGTGAAGTCGTGAGATATAAAGCACGTCTTGTCGCACAAGGATTCTCACAGAGACCTGGCATTGATTATGAGGAGACATACTCCCCTGTGGTGGATGCAACTACGTTTCGATACTTGATTAGTCTAGCAGTTCGAGAAGGACTAGATCTGCGTCTAATGGATGTTGTGACAGCCTATTTGTATGGATCACTTGAGAATGATATATATATGAAACTCCCTGAAGGATTCACTTTGCCAGAAGCGAACAAAACACATTCTCGAGAAAATTTTTCTATCAAATTGAACAAATCCTTGTATGGATTGAAACAATCTGGACGAATGTGGTACAATCGTCTCAGTGAATATTTGATGAAAGAAGGATACACGAATGACCCTATTTGTCCATGTGTTTTTCTAAAGAGATCGGGTAGTGAGTTTGTTATAATATCAGTTTATGTTGATGACATAAACATCATTGGAACTCTCGAAGAGCTTCCAAAAGCAGTTGATTGCTTGAAGAAAGAGTTTGAAATGAAAGATTTAGGAAGAACAAAGTTTTGTCTTGGATTATAGATTGAACATTTGAAGGATGGTAGTTTTGTGCATCAAGAAGGATATGTTGAAAAGGTGCTTAAGCGATTTTATATGGACAAATCACACCCGTTGAGTAATCCAATGGTTGTAAGATCACTTGATGTGAAAAGAGATCCATTTAGACCTCAAGAAAGTGATGAAGATCTGCTTGGCCCTAAAGTGCCATATCTTAGTGCGATAGGAGCATTAATGTATCTAGCCAGTCATACACGACCCGATATATCGTTTGCTATGAATATATTGGCAAGATATAGCTCTTCTCTCACTAAAAGACATTGGAATGGAGTTAAACATTTACTTCGTTACCTTCGTGGAACGACAGATATGGGCTTGTTCTATTCGAGTGCATCGAAGATGGATTTAGTGGGATATGCAGATGCAGGATATCTCTCAGATCCCCACAATGGTAGATCTCAGACAGGATATTTGTTCACTTGTGGTGGTACAGCCATTTCGTGGCGATCCACAAAACAAACTATAACAGCCACATCATCCAATCATGCTGAAATCCTAGCAATTCACGAGGCAAGTCGTGAATGTGTTTGGTTAAGATCTATAATTCGACACATCAGAGAATCGTGTGGACTATCTCTAGAAAAAATGATCCCGATGATCATGTATGAAGATAATGCAGCATGCATTGCTCAATTAAAGGAAGGATATATTAAAGGAGATAGAACAAAACATATTCCACCCAAGTTCTTTTTCACTCATGATCTTCAAAAGAGTGGTGAAATAATTGTTCAAAAAGTTCGTTCAAGTGAGAATCTAGCATATTTATTCACCAAGTCACTCCCGACGACAATCTTTGTAAAGCTTGTTCGTGAAATTGGAGTTCGACGACTCAAAGAACTGAGCTGATGTGGTCATGAGGGGGAGCATATACGCGCTGCACTCTTTTTCCCTTAACCATGGTTTTTCCCACTCGGTTTTCCTGGTAAGGTTTTTAATGAGGCAGCATGAGATAGCGTAATAATGCAATCTAGTGGTCATCCAAGGGGGAGTATTATGTAAATATTTATATTTGGATGACCAATGGCCTACCACATTAGATGCTCACTTGGGAGTTACATGTAACTCCCATTCCTATATTATTATCTCTAATTCATATGCATTGATGTAAGGATGTAATGGTTATCAAAGGGTGCCTATAAATAGAGCACACTATTGTATCACAAATGGTGAATGAATAAGAAGAACTATTCCCCTCACTTCTCTTGTGTCTTTCCTCCTCCAATCTTCTCTTGTAGTTGCTTACATTTCCATTAGTTTTATAACAATTCTGAATAGTTTCCTACTTTCCTTCATAATTGACGAATTCGGTGGGCCGAAGTCCTTATTGAAGTTTGGTTGAATGGGCCCGTTTGGTCGTCTGTTACTTTGGTGGATACTAGACAGATTTTATGTGACACAAATTCACATGGAGATTTGGGCCTGGAATTCCTAGTTACTTGTAACATATATATTCCAAACGTGGATAATTGATCAAAATGGTCACACAAGTTTGATCAAGTAACAAATGGTCACAAACGTTTGAAACATAAAAAAAGGTCATGAAAGTATAATGTTATAACAAAATAGCTATTTCATGTATTTTTATCCATATTTTCATCTACAATGACCAGTTTGCTTGCTCTAAATAAGCGGTAATTTCACAGGTTGGTTAGGTGGTTGATAATTTGTTATCAATTTACCATGGTGTCATCAAAATAATCGATTATTATGGATGAAAACATGGCTAAAAAGAGATGAAATGACTGTTTTGTTATATCATAATACGTACATGACCTTTTTGTTACGTTTTAAATATTTGTGACCATTTTGTTACTGGTCCAAACCTATGTGACCATTTTGATTAATTACCCTTCCAAACGTTGTTGTTTGGTCATAAATAAGAATTCATACATTTTCTCAAATTATAATCTGCCATTATGAAATCTGCGAAAATAACGATAAGTCATTTTGTGGATTTCAGTTTACTCATTTCTAGACGCCATAGAAGAGTTGTCCATCTTTTTGATAAAATAAGTCTTTTGATTCAAAGCTTACTTCCTAATAGGCTCGCCCGTATTATTGTTATCTATTTTATAAACTCATATTTAATTTCCTTATAATGATAAATTGATTATAAAAGAGAGAAGACAATTTACTAATAAGTTCATGCTCGATGAAACTTTCGATGTATTTGGGCTTATTATTTAGATGTTATATTGAATGTTGAGTAACATAGTGTCAACCTGTCACAACATTATAACTCAAATCTCCCCCCAATGGTGTACAACATCTGAACTTTACTAAACCTAAAAATTGCCACTCAATTTTGATCAATTAGTATCAATCAATCAAGCAATCTGGGCTTTCTTCATGCTCCAAGCAGTCAATCTTGCAATCCTCACATGCTGAGCTCCATTGTTAAAAGCATACAAATGTGCTGCCCCATCTATGGCTAGTGTTGGGTATACTCTCGATGTGATGCAACTCTTCCCAAATCCACCGAAGCTCTCCACTATAGAGTGATCGATCTGCAACATTCAAAGGAAATTTAGTCAAATTAAGCTCCGTAGTCAACAGGGTTTCAATTACAGTAAGATGAATAACATATGTATAACAATTATGATGAGCTCATTTGATCACATCTGACGATGAAAAGTATGATTTATCAACATACAACTATTTACGTATTTAATAGACCTACCAAAGTTCTGAGGGAGAGTATCTCCTTGGTAGGGTCTATGTCCAAAAATGTCCCATAAGTAGTCTTATCATTAGCATTATTCAACGACGACCTGGGAAAAAAAAAATCAATTCCAAATATGATTAATTAAGCTGCCACAAATTTCCACAAAATTTTCGAATATGTTGGCCAAAGGAAAATCAAGTTATAGAATGGAGACTTACTTGCTTTGGTCACTGCACATGAGAACCACATATTTACCGTCACTAGCTTTGAAAATCCTGTAGAAAACGGCTGTGTACTCTTCCAACCCCTTTGACCCCAAAACCAGCAACCCAAATGGACCCAATTTCCCTCCAACCGACGAACCCATCCGGCTACAAATCAACTGTGGGTCGGTCCAACTTGGGTCCAACTTTTCAGCTTTGCTCAAGTCAAACTTCCCAAAGTACATCTCCACGTCAGCCTGTACAGCTGTAACTCCCTTCACTTCAAGCTTGGATCCGCCCTTCAGCACCTGACTTGGCACCACTACAGGCTTCCCTCTAAGCTTCTCTATTTCCTTAACCGGCCATTGGACTAGCTGTTTCCCTGATTTGTGCAACCATATAGTCCTTGGAATTGTCTACATTGACAAAAAGAAAATGCTTGGTGATTGATCCAAAAAATGCATATTATAATGTAGGAGAGAGAGGGGAGAGAGAAAATTTTGTGAAAAAGGTGTCTTACGTGTACGCCAGACCATCCTTTCTTGATGTCATCAGCGACGCTGGATGATTCGTTGACCCAACCCAACAGGATGCGACGATTCATCTTCGAGTCGAAGAACGTTTTCGAGGCGTAGTACTTCCCGTAATCATACCTCAATCCGAAGTCCTTATCGGCGAGTCCGTCGTGGTCGGGGGTGTAGACGTCCTTGACGGGGTCGTAGTTTCCGATCGTGTAGTAGTCGTGTTTCGTGTCATCGAGGCTGACCTTGAGCGCGTGCTTCACTTTGGGGCCGATCTTGGACGTGTCGAGCCCGCTTTTGTACCCGCCCACGAGAACGGGGAAAAAATCGGGGCACTCCCACATGCCGGTCCCGTCCGTGGAATGCAGAGGGTGGCCCGCCCTGACCCAGTTCACGAAATCTTTGCTCGTGTACAAGATGGCCATCCCCTTGCGGTCGACCTTGCTGCCGATGATCACGCGCCAGATCTTGTCGCGTCCCATCCAGGCGGTGGTCGGGTCTCGAAACGACGAGGCGTTGATGCCGTTCTGCGGGGTGGGCGCCATCAACGGGTTTTTCGGGTTCTTGACCCAGTCCCTGAGGTACGGGTCGGACATGTTCTTGGGCACGGCCAGGTTCTGGACCTGTTGGTTCTTCGGGTTGATCCCAGTGTAGAGAATGGCCGGGGTGCCATCCTTGAGAAACGTGGTTGAACCGGACCAGGCACCGTTGATATCGGACGGGTGGGATGGGGCGATCCCGTAACCACGTGGGGTCCAGTTGACCAGATCCGTCGATGTCGAGTGGGCCCACACGATGTTCCCCCAGACTGCACCTTTGGGGTTGTACTGGTAGAACAGGTGATAGATTCCCTTGTAAATCATAGGTCCTGTAAATTGATAAATTGGAAACCAATATTACAGGTTAGTTAGAACGTGCAGCCAACAACTATACAGCAGGGAGAATTCATTAAAATATTTTTGAGAAATTAATATATATGACAAATTGTTAATTGACCGGAGGTTCCAAAAAAAAAAAACAAGCTGTCAATTTGACTTTGTCTTTATTTGGCCGGTTGGGTAAATGATTAAACTAATAAAGGCGCAAAAACCCAAAGTTTTTTTATATATCTTTTTGGTTCTTAGTTGCACAAAGGGAATCAAAGGAGATTTGCACAAAAGGGAAACCAACAACCATACCCTTTTTATGCCTAGTTCTTAGTTCCCTTTAGCTTTGAGTAATCACAAAAACTCAAATTTGATTGTGAAATATTACAATATTTTAATTTAATTAAAAGTTTTTTCTCTCATATTTATACCTTTTATGGATTAAATTTTTATTCCATTTATGTTTAAATAAACTAAAAATGGGAGGGGTGGGGGTATATGGTGAGAAAAACTCCAAGAATTTGGCAAAAGTGGAATTTTGTTTTCCCACCTAATATGGATGAATGGGAAAAGAGTTGGATCGATGAGATCCACGAAAAGGTGACACACTTGTCTCCTTACATGATAGGAATATTTTTTTTTCTTTCTCAAATCGTGTTAATTGACTCAACTCGATATAATGAATAAAGGTAAATATATGCAAACGTAGTTAGGTGAAATAGATAACACGGGATTAAGAACTCACCGTTAGGATCTGTAAGAAGAATCCAAGCCAATCATGGGAACAACACCAACATGTCAAGTAGCCAAAGAGAAAGTGGAATGTGTCAAGAATCATTGAAATGAGAATCATCAACTAATATCAGAAGGAAAATATGTCAGAAGAAGTATATACCATTGATCCAGTTCTTGGGAGGCTGGAAATGGTATCCAGTTCTATAAGGCTGGCCTTTGGAGGAAGAAGATCCAGCAGCAGAAACTTCAGCTTGGAGCCTATTGTAAACATGGTGGTGTGAAGCTTGGAGCTGCAGAGCTCCATGGGAAAGGAATAAGAGAGCAAAGAAGGAGAAGAGGTTGAGAGAGGCCATGACTGTAAATTTGAGTTTGTAAGAGGATAAGGCAGCAAAGATGGGTATTTATAGGGGAAGGTGGGGAATGGAATTGCCCAAAAAAAAAAAGATGGGAGATTTGATTATGAGGACTTTAATGGAACCCTTTCTAAGTCTCTCTTGCTAGCTGTTTGGTTTGGAAAGGGAGAGAAAATTGAACATTTGATTCATGTGATCATGTGTACTCTTCTTCTCCTTCCTTTTTGTCTATGGTGGTTTTATTATTATTATTCATTTACAATTTGATAACTTGGTTGGTTTGGGTTTTAAATCATTGTTTGGCACCATTATTAAGTGGTGTGTTATTTTAATTTCATTTAAATTGTTGGCAACAATGTTTATGGGTTAGAGTTTTAGGGATGTTAATGCAAAAGTCACCATTTGATTCAAACGTGGGCTTAAAGAAAGAGCAAATCCATAAGAAATTGAAGTTAATAGCTTCTGGGTTTCTTATTGTAAAAAATAAATAAATTATGGGTCTTATTTACATATATGGGAATTAACTTATCATTATCTATTCACTGAAATGTATCCATTATCCAATATATAATAGGATAAGTAAAGCCGCCACTTTGACTTAATTTCCAGTTTCCCAATACAAATTTTCATTAAATTAGTCAGCATAATTAGGATTCCACTGTTATAAATGTAAGGAATACGTTACTGGTAGATCCACCAGACAAGTACCTCGTTTTGATGCACTAAAGTACAAAGATAATATTTTCAGTCGTAATAAAATTTTAGCATTAATCATTATTCATTAAAAATGAATAAACAATATCGTAATTCCAAATTGCCCTATATTTAGCAATATAATATTCACCAAGTTGAATCGTCTTTGCAAATGGGAATGAATGACTAGCTATAGTTTGCTGGACCTCTTAATTTTCAAGGACCCATGACTTGTGAAGAAAGGAACTATCAAGATGCGGATGCATTGAACTTAAAGCCGGATAATAATCTTCATTTTAATCGTTCGATTTTGAGTTTTATAGTAATCACATGTACGCAAAAAAAATATTTACGATTTTCTCGTGTTTAAAAATTTGATGATTAGAGTAACATAGGCGAACTCATTTATATAAATTGTGAACCCATAAAGATATTTGAGAAGTTTCGCATTTCAAGTCATTTAAATTGATAAATCTTGTTAGCTGAATGATGTCTTTGCCTAATCTATATTTACTGTTGTTAAATGGAAAATATGTAGCTTGAGCAAACAGTAGCTTTAGATTTAGACAAACTGTTGTGCCTTTTGGGGATTTTGTGACTTTCTGGGGGGAATAGAAAAGTCAACAACGTAACTACCAGAAAGTGCGGGAGCTAGACAGATCGTTATGTAGATTTGGAGGTCCTGGTTTTAGTTTTAGATGTCAACTTTCATGCCCACTTGTTTACTTCCCTGGTCAACTTTTTAGGGCACCCCCACAATCTATACTATATGGACAGAGTTTACTTCCACCTTATCAGCTTTGGATCCTAAATTCGTAATCAACGATGTCAGGAGGTTCTTAAGAGAGCATTTACTAGAAATTTACATGAATATTAATTGTTAAAATTTATCTAAGTCGGATAATCTGCTCGGATTTTAAACTTATTTAATATGAGTGTCAGAACAGAAGCGTGCAATCGATAATCCAAACCAGCACGAACGAAAACAAATATAACGTGGTTCACTAACACAATGTGTGCTAGCTAATCCACGAGCAAGGGAGAACAAATTTCACTCATTTGAGGAGAGTACAGGTTACAAACCAAATTCCAAATGGACAAACCAAACAAACTAATCTGACTGACCTTACTACAGACTAGGGTGACGAAGAGTATTTATAGAACTCTTCTCCTAATCCCAAATAGAAAACCAAACACCTTTTTCCCAAACATACAAGGAAAAGGTCACACAAAGCCCAAACACAAACCCAAACAAAATAGGCCCAAAACACAAAACAAACCCATATAAAATTCAAGTCATATTCTAACAATCTCCACCTTGACTTGAATTCTCTGTCAAATACCAGATGTACCAGACGCAACCAAAGTTGCCAGATGTACCAAACGCAACCAAAGTTGCCAGATGTACCAGATGTGATCGAAATCACCAAACTCAAACGCGATGCATATCGCCAGACGTATCCAAATGCGATCCATATGCAATCAAAATTGTCAGACGTACCAAACTCCTCCAAATCAGTTGTACCAGAACCTCCCCCGCCTCCAAATGCCCCTATGGGCGGTCAACAACTCAAACCATTCGGCAAGTCTAATCCATATTGAGACTTGCCATTCAGAACCAACTTGCTGCACTTATCACCAACAGAACATGTCAAAACAGAACCTTGTAGACTATACAAGGCACCCCGCTTGACACCTTTCAAAATCACCTTAGAACCCTTGTAGACAGACAACACTCCACCTTCACCTTTGAAACTGAAACCCTTGCTGTCGAGTAGACTCAAAGATATCAGATTCTTAGTCATCTCTAGAATATGCCTAACATTGTTCACGGTGCGAACAGAACCATCATGTGTTCTCATCCTGACGGAGCCCACAAACCCTGTTGTTTCAACAGTGCTTGCATCTTGATCTGCCACAAACTGAAACTGTTTCTTCCGGTAAACTTCTCAATCTTCATACTGATAGCACCCATTCTTACTATCAAACAAACTCCAACCAAACTTCTCGCCAAACAAGCGAGACCAAAACATAACTACCCAAAGTCAACTTCAAAGTGATTCCTCCACCAAACCAAAATTGAAGGCTACCTCCCCAACGCAAACCTTCAATTAATTTTTTTTTTTACCTGGTAAATCCCAAAAGGAAATTCCAACCAGTGCACAAAAGAGCTCAAATTTTGCAGCAGTCTTCCAAATTGTAACCCAACTCGAAAAGAACTACTACCCGTCACCCTTGATAATTCTACGGAATGATTTTCTTTCGGACACCAACCAAATCAATAATTACATCAACAACTTGAAAAGCCAAAGCTTCTCGGCTTGCTTTCCAAGCTCGGTGCGCCAAACTGTCTTCTCCGCAAATTACAAGCTTTCTTCAAGTTAAGATAAAATCCACAAATCGAATTGAAGAATCTGATGTAATTCTACCACGAACCTCGTCGATTGCGCAGCCGATCAACCAGGAGAGAGATCCAAAATCCACCAAGACAGTTTCAAATAACCCAAAGATCAACCGCGGCTCTGATCCCACTTGTCAGAACAGAAGCGTGCAATCGATAATTCAAACCAGCACGAACAAACGCAAATTTAACGTGGTTCACTAACACATTGTGTGCTAGCTAATCCACGAGCAGGGGAGGACAAATTTCACTGATTTGAGGAGGGTACAGGTTACAAACCAAATTCCAAATGGACAAACCAAACAAACTAACCTGACTGATCTTACTACAGCCTAGGGTGATGAAGAGTATTTATAGAACTCTTCTCCTACTCCCAAACAGAAAACCAAACACCTTTTCCCAAACATACAAGGAAAAGGTCAAACAAACCCAAACACAAACCCAAACAAAATATGCCCAAAACACAAAACAAACCCAAATCAAATTCAAGTCATATTCTAACAATGAGTTTCTCATTTAAAGGTGGAATATATGAAAATGTAATGTAGAATGGAAACAAACTAGACATTGCTAAAGGCTCTAGCTAGTACATCCTCCCTCAAACCATTCATATATTTATAAAATAACAGTAAATAACATGGTGCAAATTCAAAATAATAGTCAGCTTTTTATTGGTTATTGCCTTATTTAAGTTGAACATTGTGTTATAAACTTTTAGTTTAGATCATATTTTTAGTGCTTCTGATCATCTCAAATAATATTGTGCAGTTATGAAACTAAAAAAAATTATTGAGGTGACACCAAATATGATATATGCTATTAGTTTATAGAATGACATGGACCTGAAATCTGAATGCTCTCTCTCATTGCAAGCAACTAATAATATTCTGAACAAAATTTCCACCAATCATTTTCAGGGATTAGTATATATACATTCATTATTGCCGATTTTGAGAGAGTTGACCAACAGCAGTATATCACGGATCTATAACGGATCAGATTAAATTTATTCATTCGTCCTATTGAATTTCCAAAAACAAATCAAGAAGTTGAACTCTATGTATACTAGCTTATAATCCGGCCAATTGGCCGAAATGTTCATATTTGATTATTTATATTTTTATATTACGTTTAAGTCAATCAATCGGTTTAATTTTATTGACAATCTTTCGATCGAGATGATACATAAAGAAAGAATATATAGGTCTAACATTCAAAAAAATACCATCATCATTTAAGAATATAAAATGTATCATTAATTTCATTTTTATAATGATCATTAAGCCCTCGTTAAAATGCTATTGGTTAGTTGGTTGTCAAGAAAGAGGGTATAAAAACTCACTGAAATTCCACAAGACCCATAGATAGTTTGAAACTAAATATTAAACCTCACAATCCTACATAAGGGTTTAATGCGCTCCTTTTATGAACAATATTCCACTAATCAAAAAGAAATGGAGAGTTGTTGATTCAAGTAAACTATATACTAACAACTCAACTAAGAGGGGACCATCAAAACTTGAGAGCAAACAACAAAATTAGAGTTATCTCCAACATACTAATAGAGTCAATCAATGTAATAAGGCACAAAATTAGACATTCCTTGTCTATCAATTCCAGTAGGTTGAATAAAGAATTGACCTACTTCAATAAATCAATCAATGATTCCTCGTTTTAAGATAGAAATAGGTTGTAATAGATGTAAAAACCATAAACATAAAGATCCAATGGCCACCACTCTTTGTTGTACAACCAAATTTTTTTTTATCTCAAGAGACATATGTTTCAACCAAAAATTCAATTGCTAATCCTCCTTCTGCAACTCCATTATTTATTAAACTCTTTTACTTGCCCAACTTAAATCCCCAACAATAAAACCGACGTGCCAAGAGATATCAGATGATTG